TGCTTGCAATATAAACAATCATAAATCCACACACATGATGCAATTCCCTGTTTATTTAGTGTCACCAGTTTTGCAAACTAGAAATTAGTTCTATTTTTCAACTCGTGTACAATCTGTAACCATTCAGAGCCCGAATACGATTTCTTCAAAACAAAAGTACATTATTTTTAGAACTGAATTCTCTGGACTGGGAAATAGTACAGGATAGATTATATACATTTATGGAACTTCTTCAACAGCGAGGATCACATAAACTGCAAAGTAGATAAATTACTGTGCAGAATTTTATTACACACTGTGTTTAAGAAAATATTTCTGTAGTTTTATTAGACTTACATTTATAGATTTAAAAAAACTAATATTGAATGCAAAATGCTTTTAACATGTACGTTTCACCACTTGAAACATAAATGAGGTGAAAAAAATCATTTCCACTATGAAATCAACCAATACTGAGGCATTATCATTCATCAAGGTATTTTCCTGCAGATATGCTGCTGAGTTGGGGCTAATCATGTAAGACAATAGTTTCCAAAGCCCCATCAAGGGGAATTAAATAAACCGAACAACCATTTCTGGCAACAAATGTAATACAATACATTTTAAAATTTGTAATTATATTTTTGTAGAAATCCTGTTAACCCTGTACATTGATGGCTATCTAAATTAGATCTTATTTTAATATTCTATAGTATATACTGAATTACTTAGAATCTGAAATGAACTGAACATCTGATGAACTCTAATACGAGGAAGTCTAAAACCTTAAAACCCAAGTGAGACCTGACACTAATGTTAACACTGTATCTGCACTAGAGAGTCACTTGCTTTACGTCTGTTTAATTTTAAGAGTGGCAGTTCTCAAGAAAAAGACCATTATCCTCTAAAACTAGACCAATTTTCTTCTTTTATGAATTCATTTCCCGTAAAATATATTCCTTTAAAAAGAGTATTTTTTATCTGCGTTTTTTTTAAAGGACATGTTTGCTTTACATGATCACATTCATCATGGGAAATTTGTATCTATATAATATTTTAACATCAACTTCTATCTGGCCCCCATTTCTTCTTTTAAAAAATAAAAATAACTTAAAATAGACGAGTTATTTTTTTTTTTTGTCCTTGAAATATTTTGATGGCCTCTGTAAGAGAAAAGATGATGCCTTATTATGCTGTAAAATGGGATCTCAACCAGGGAGTCTATGAACCGCCGCAAAATTATAAAATTTGAGAAGTTAAATATACGTTTTATGCAATCTCCTGAGTGAAGGAGCCCCTAGATTCTTCAGTCAGTCCCAAAGGGCCTGTGACTCCCCAAAGGCCAAGAATCACTGCCAAAATAAATTTGTGCTACTGACTAGGAAGTAGGATATTCATAAAATTTTTCTTTTATAAATCTAACTTACTTCAGATGCCATAAACACTAAGCAGTCTTTGTCCTAGATGAGAACAATGTAAAAAGAAAGGAAAAGTGAACAATTTTTCTAAACATATAGTTTGGGAGAGCCACTAATGAAAATGGAGAAATGAAAAGAACTGAAGAGTTGGTTTTGGGGTAAAGAAACACATGTTTTCCTCATTTGTTCTTATGTTGGAAAATTGGTGGCTTTTATCATCACCTTCCTTGAAAAATACAATTATTTGAACGTCCAGACTTTCCTATGGCTTTGGTAAGAATGAAGAATCCTCCCCTCTGATCTTCTCACTGGCATTGCCCACTAATCCTCATCCCAAGTTTTACTTTCAGCTCAGGTTAACAAAGTATTAACTGATCTTAATGAGTTAATGCATCAAGCTTTTTTTGCTTAAGAAATTGGAACTGGCCTGTCTTTCAATTTGTAAAGAGAGGAAGAGAAGGAGAAAAAATAGGGCAGTATTTCATGCAGATTAAGGAAGAAAAAAAGTCACTGTGCTGTCATACTATAACAACCTTTTCTCCATTTAACAAAAGCTTAAATTGTCAATACTATCTGAGCTTTTCTAATTAGCACTCCTACCTCCTGGTAATAGAAATAGGAAAATACTGACAGCAAAGGATGCTAGCTTAATATATGAACAAATAAAAGGGAAAGAATCTGTGTTGAGGTCAACAAAAGTGGAAAATGTTCATCTGCCAATAAAGTAGGAATCAATACTCTCATTTCTGTAAAG